TTTGAGGACCCTCGCTTTGTGAGAGATCTTAGATTCAATTCCCTGCCTGGAACAGGACCTGCTTTATACCCTGCACTCATTGCAGGCCTCACGACACAGGCTCAGGGGAACCAGGTCTCAGCAGATACCTTCAGGGTGAACGATGGCTTCCATCGTACTTGCCTCCAAGATCTGAGTGTTCATGTCACTTTTGACCTCTATAGATTCTTCCATTTTTGGCCACTGCTTTGTGCATTTAGAAAGGTATTTTATGACCCTCAAGAATCAATGATAAAGTGAACCCCCAAAGTAGAAGAATTCAGTAGGAAAGCAGGACATAAAATGAGCATACAGAAATCAATAGCCTTCATATGTAAAAACAATGACCAAGTCGAAGACATAATGGCAGAGAAAACCCCATTTACTAGGAACAAAGAAGATTAAATACTTGGGATAAGCTTAACAAGAAATGTGGAAAAACTTATACAAGGAAATATTTAAAACAGTCCTGAAAAGGCACAAAAGTAGACTTGAACATGTGGAAATCATCCCCTTTTCTTGGCTAGGATGACTCAACATTGTAAAGATGTTAGTTCTCCCTAAATTAGTTAATAAGTCAAATACAATCTCAATAAAAACATCAATACACCTTTTTATGGAATTATACAAGTTGATACTATACGGAAAGAGAAACGCATAAGAATAGCCAGGAAAACACTGCAAAAAAAAATTAGGAGGGGAACTACCTCTACCAGACATTAAAACATACTATAAAGTTTCTATAATTAAAACAGTATGGTACTGTGCACAAGCAGACAAATAGACCCATGGAATAGAACAGAAAGCACAGAAAGAGTCCCAAGTACATATGGATTCTGGATAGACTCCTTAACTGGAAAAACAACATTACTGGGAAAACTAGTGAAATTCAAATAAAGTATATAGTTTAGTTAGTAGAATTGTGTCAATGTTAATTTCCTGGTTTCATTAGTTGTGCAATGGCTCGTAAGTTAACATCAGAAGCTGGAAAGCTCTGTACTATTTTTGTAACTTTCCTAAAATTATTTCAAAGTAAAAGAATTTTGTAAAAAGCAAGGTTTTGAATCAAGATCTCCCAAGAACAAGGAGAGGAGGCTCTGAGTCACACTGTAGTGCAGCACGAGAGAAAGGGCAGTACGTCACCACTGTGGGCCCCAAACGCTCATTTGGTTCAGTTTTACACAGTTTCAAAGAGCTTAGCTAACTTACTCAGAGCATGGTATTAAAGAGACCAAAATCAATCATGGGATCAAAGTTTAGTGTGGGCCAGCTGCAATGGTTTTATCCTGTGGACACTTTCTGCAGCCTTGAAATAGCAAAGATTGTAGAAGTCCCCAATCTAAAATGTGTGAACGGATCAACACAAATTTACTGTCACTACTGAGAAACAAAGCCCAAAACGCATAACTGGTTATTGACAGGAACTTTGTTACTGAGGAACGGTACTAGGGTTTAGGGCCACCACATTGTATATTCAATTCTACCAAGATAAGGCGGTTCAGGGGAATAACTTCAGACTGGCATCATGACAGAAGACATTAGGGAATCGGTCAGCCATGGTATAAACTGATATTTCCATTTCAGCTTAATCTACTCCTAAGCATGTCAGCAGCTCCTACAAATAGGTGGACCTGGTTACACACACCCCAGGGAGGGGATAGAGGAGATGCAAGCCTGTTCACATCTCAGCTCCAGCTCTGTCTGCACAATGGGCCCCTGCAGTAGGGTGTCCATGACTATACAGCAGAGGAACACGGTAAGAGCACTCCAAATCAACAAGCAAGCCCATGAACACGGTCCCTCGCCGTCTGTCTCCTGCCTACCTCTCCCTGCTTCTTTATGTCCTTTATATGTCAGCCTTACCAAAACACTTGCGGTGCCCTGAACAAATGATGCTCTTTATGCAGGATGGCCTCATCCTTCAAGACCTGGCTCAGTATATTTCTAACCTTACCTCAGCACAGTGCTCTCCTTCTTGCCAAAATACCCTGCTATTCTTACCTCAAAACCTATCACTCTACATTGTAATATTTGCTTTCCTTGTTTCTTCCTTAGAAGACCATGAACTTCATGACAGCAGGAATGCCTTTGCTCTTGGTATACTCAGCAGCTAGCAGAGTGCTTGTCTGAAAATGCATTCTATAGACATCAACAGAAAGAAGGGACGTCCATAAAGGCCAAGACCATTAAGATGGCTATTTTGCTAGCAGTTCTAGAAGATGCATAGCAAGTCTGAAAAAAAGAGATGTTCAGGACAGCCCATTGCTACCCTTAACAACTCAAAGTACACGTCCTCTTGGCTTATGGATCAGTTTTGCTTTGGCACACGAAGGACAATACCTTCTTATTGCCACAGGTTTGGAAGATTTGATTGACTTTTGCTCTAGACACTTTCAAAAACAAGAACAGGTTGTTTTAAGAGGATGCCACAGAAGTTGCCTATTTCCTTGCTGTAGGCACCGAGATGAGCCCATCCACAGTTGCTTTGATAGAGAAACAGCCCACCAGGAGCAACAGGTAAATGGAGTAAAAGGGTGTCATCAGACACCAGCCCTGGGACCAGGGTCACAGTTTATATCAGATATATGTGGCCACCAACAGCTCGCTTCTACTGTGAAAAGGGGCAGCACAGCTGAAAATAGAAACTCTAGCATCAAACAGACTTGGAGTTTGAATCCTGGCTGACAAGATTGGCTACCTGACTTTGAGCAAGTTCAGCTGTTAACTGTAAGCATATTTCATTGCTTTAACAGATAAAAGTACCTACCTTAGAGTTGTTGAGGACTGACCAATGGCATATAATAATCCATCAGTAAAGTTATTATTATTACTATCATCATCATTAGCTCTGGAAAGGATTCTACTGGTTTCAAGAGTTTGCAGGGTATACCCAAGGAACCTAAGAATATCCTGCTTGGGGCAGGATATTGACCCTCTTCCTCAAGATGTCTCTGAACACTTAAAAAATATCTTTGGAATCAGTGAATAGGGCAGTGGCTCTAGTGGATCTGTGTTGATCTTACCAGCTGCCCAGCATCTGAACTGCCCTTCTATATTTGAGGAATTCATCCATCCTAATAGAAGCTAAATATTCCAGATTACCTCATTCTCACCTCCCACAGCTAGGGCGTATGCACATGACTGCTATTTAGATCCACGTAGCCCAGATTATGAATCAGAAACCAGTGATTCAGAGAAGCCAGGACTGCATGGTCCCTTCTGGGAGGGTGGAACCTCTCCATAGTAGCAGAAGCAGCATGCAGTGAAGGGTGGGATGGAGGAAATCAAGTTCTATGTTTCATTATGAGGGCTAGTGCCCGAAACCCCCATAAAAAGTTCTCTGATAAAGATCCAATATGGTACCCAAGGTCAAAAAAATGGTCAGGAGCTGGGTCTGTCTCAGCCCCTAAATCCAAACTAAAACCTTACCAGCAGCAGACAGTAAAAAACTAAAGGTAGCGTTAGGTGGGGGTAGCCTCCTTGCAGGCAGAAGTGGGCCCAGGCCTCCTTACCAGTCCAAGACCCTGGAATGGAGAAAGCAGAAGAGAGACCCCAGTTCAAGCCTGACTTTCCATGAACAGCATTTCTGGGCACAAGTAAATAGGAGTGGATCCATCCTAGAATCTGACTAATGTGACTTGCAATTCTTCCTGTCTCTTGGAGGACGAACAAAGAGAAGTGAGGGAAGGAGCAGAAAACTTCCTAGAAGTTTGCAGGAATGAGTAATAAATGTAAATGCTTCACTCTAAGGCTGTGCCTCAAGTCAGTGCGTTAGGTGGTACGACAAAGGAACACATTAGCACGTGGATATTAACTGGGGTGCTGGAGGTGAGGGCAGAGACAGCCCTTCAGTCTGCATAACCACCCTGCCCACCTGTGGAGACTGAGAAAGGGCAAAGAAGTGGGAGAAAAATCAGCAGAGAGCAGGGTCCCAAAAGGACATGGCTATACAGCAGCATGTCATCAAGATCAACCTAAAGACTAAATTTTGACAACTAGAAGTCAATGGTGCGCCCAGCAAGAACCATTTTAACGGTGCCGAGCGTAGAGGCCAGGTTTAAGCACAGGGGTTCTCGGCCCCAGCTGGACATTTCTTTAAGGACTGGAGCCTGTCCCACCTCCCTATTCCCATGTCACTGGTTTCATTCTGTTGGGGGAATTAGGATTTTCAAAAACCTCCCCAGGTGGTCCTCAGTGTGCAGCCAGGGTCATAAACCACTGCTTTCGTGATTTGAGAGCTAAGGAGCAGGAAGAGCAAGTGAGGGCAGTACCTTAGTGGTAGTCAAGGGGTTCGAAAGGTTGAGGAAGGTATTTTTATTAGAAGAGGGAGTTTTTGAACATGTTTAAATGCAAAGCTTACATGCCAGGAGTGAGAAGTTGTAGCTAGACTGAGCAAGGCATCTGTCTGTTCAGGGGCGAGGGACCTAGGGCATAGAAGGGATTTGTCTCGGGCAGGGAAGCACTTGGAGGAAGAGTGTATGTGAAGGTGTGTAAGTGGGGGACACCGCCTAATGCTCCGTTATCTGTAAGGGGAGGGGGAGATTAGCTGCTGAGGTTGATAGGAGTGGGTAGAAGAATTTTGAATGGCCAGAGTTTGCAATAGCTGCTGACAACAGGTGGGAGGTTGCGATAAATATTGAGAGCAACCCAAAATGTCACCATGATTTGGGGTGGCAGAAGTTTGCAGTCATTTTTCATGGAGCAATACATTGCCCACTGGAAGGAGCAAAATACAGAATCTACGCATAGTGAAATGGGCTGATGTATGGCAAATCCACCAAGGCCATCTGTAAGTTCTCTGCTACTGTCTTTCCTTTTTCAATTAAAAAACACCCGAATGAGGGATCTGCAATGGTCAGAACTCACTGCTAGAGACAGAAAACATTAATTTTCATAATTTAGATATTAATCTTTTTATATTCCCATACCTTCATACCTAATTACACTAACATTTTGGGCCAAGGTACTTTTAACTGGTTTTCAAGATGGAGAAGAAAAATTATGTGGTGCTTCAAGACTGCAAAAATTGGAGAGCTAAGCAGCCTACACATGTGTATCAATCATGTTTTTAATTTTCAGTATATTACCATGTTTTGATATCTTAAGAAACCTTCCTGGCTGGAAGAGACCACCCCTCCCAGGGCTAGCCAATTCTTAGAAATATTAAAGGACTCAGCCAGCGGCATGCTTTTGATCGACAAGCTAACCAGGTCTGAGGGAGCCCTGCCTCCTCCACTGGCATGCACACCCCAGGAAGCAATCATCCCAGAGTCAGGTACCAGGCAGAAACCACGCCACAGCCCAGGGGCCCTGGAATTTGTCAGCCTAACCAAACTAGCCATTCCTAAACTGCTCCCCCTCCCTGCTCTGCCTTCCAGGAGGAACCGTGATGAAGCTCTGGGCTAAACCTACCACTTGCTCCCGCCTTCTGCCTCCTGACCAACCTGGGGTTTATCCTGTGGCCCTAATAATTAATGGGCTGTGTATCATTTCTAGGGGACCTGTGAATAACATCAAAGTTTTGTTTCAATGGCACCAACCTCTTCATGTTGTCATTCAGTCTCCTTTATAAATTAAGACCCAGCCACAAAACCACATGAGCATCCGAGGGAATACTAGAGAATTCCTCCCTAGCCACATGTATCACCAGAGAGAGCTTGAGTTCGTAGGCTTTGGTAAGGGAGGGTCCTGCCCAATTCACACAAATTAAAATCTAAAGAAAAAAGTGGTCATGATTTCCCTTCAAAACTTTAGAGTACTGTACTCTGAAATGCTGGATCCATGAGTCAGACAACAAAAAAAATATATAACATACTGTTGCTACTGGTCCCCAACCCCTGCAGAAGCACTACCTGAAATGTAAAACAAAGGCAACAGGGTATGATTAAGTGGGATAACTGAAAATTGATTTTTACATGCTCTAAGTGCTGAGACTAAGTCCTAGCAAAAGATTACCAACAACTCAACAAGTATTTATTATAAACACTATGTACGCAGGGTGGTTTTTCTTCCAATTATAATATTTTTTTCATTTTTGTGAGCCATACTTTAAAGGCTTCATAATTATGACACCAGAAAATACATGACATTTTCCCATGAAATTAAGAAACAGTGAACAAATGTCATAAAATCATGGATGGCAGTATCTTACACAAATGTTTTACTGCCAACTTGAAAAATGACTATCACTCACAGACTAAAAATTCATGGTTATATTTTAATCCACTTTTAAAAGGTTGTTTCCATCCATCTGAATACAGCCTTGATGGCACTTTGCTCCACATCATCCTTTCTCGATATTTCCAGGTGATCTTTCAGGAGGTTGAGGGGGAAAGTATGGGAAATAAAGACATTAACAGTTTCTGCAAAGAATCATACACAAAACATCTCTATATTTATGGAGGGAAATATAAGAGCACCTCAGAGCTCAGGGGGCTACCGGTACATTAAAACAGTTCTTTTCAACTGTGGCAAAGCCCATGGTTCTCAAACATCAGCGTGCCCCAGAGTCCCCTGGAGAGCTGGTAGGAGACGGCTGGGCCCTGCCCTGTGTGTGATTCAGGTCTGGTGGGGGCAAGAAGGCCCTGATGCTGGTCCAGGGGCTCTGCTGTAAGCATTTCCCCTTCTCTTCCTCTTGTCTTCTCACTTCTAGACCTCGCCAAGACTGCCTTCCTTGGTGAACATCTTCCGGACCCCAACTGTTCAATACTGTGCTTGAAATTTTTTTATTCCCCAAATTTGGCAATTTTACCAAGTGCTTATGTCTATTTGCAGTGGCAGGAAAATTTCTTCTTTTGGTTGCAAGTTTATTTTGCTGGGCTTATTAAAAACCTTAAAATCCACACTCTTCGGCAATATCACTCATTTTCCTTGTTTCTTTCTGGTGGTGTTGTTTCCAAGCATCTGACGCCCATCTCTTCTGTGATCTTCATGTAGGTGAAAGCATCTCTGGACCACTCGGTGTTTAGCGCTAATAGCAGAATCCGCCAATTTCGTCACCTTTCCCCTCTGCACCAGTTTTCTGATGGGGCAGGAATCCCTCCTGATTGCTGCCACCATCAGTAACTCCACCAACTGTCATGACTGGAGTGGATGATAAGGAAATACTGACAAGTAAAAGGGACAGCTCAAGCATTAACAAAGGAAGCAGCTGACAGCAAGCGCAAACTGCTCCTATCATCCCTCCCACCATCCCATGAACCATGACACATCCTGGAAGCTATGCCCCTAACGAGACTGCATCCACAGCTGCAGAAGGAAGCCACTCAGTTCTCACCCAGCTCAGGTAAGGTTCACCAGGCACACAGAACACCAAATTGGGTTCCTAATACTGAAATTTTTATACATAGCCTTTCCCCCAGGAAACGTCAAGTACATGGCTCAGAGCACAGTAATGAAGCCAAAATAAAGCAAAGATCTGTGATGAATCAGGCATCCTCAGGAGCCTTCGCCTGGAGCCAAAGTGGAGGACCCATCACATCAGCAAGGACAGGGCCGGCCTAGCTCCTTCCTCGCGACACTCTGTACCTTTCTCAACTCTAAGTGACTTCTGTGATAATTATGCTCCATTACTTTGCAGCATCGGAGCTTCCAGTGCTATGGTCTACATTGTGTTTTTTATTTCAAGATGCAAAGATATACCAGATTAATCCATCTGGCATTCAAAAATAGTTTAATTACCTGTTCTGGGTGGGGAGTTTTACTTAGTGAAGAATGCCATAAGCATCACAGATTAGATCTATTTCAGCTTTTGGTCATTTTGCTTCCCAAATGGTCTTGTTTTGCAGCCTGTTTCATAGTTGAGCAAAAAAATGTCATCTGAAATTTTCAATTGCATTCCATTTCTAAAGAATTCAAGGTTAAAGCACGCACCACTCAATAAAGATCATATTCTGTCCCTCCCAGATTTGGCACCATGTAAACGGCTACTAATTTCCTCTTCTGAACAGTTCATAACCAAAAAGCAACACAAGAACTTTGATGCAAATAAAGTTGCTCCCTTTAAATACTGCAGCTGAAAAATAACCTCAAATTCCCTTAAATGCATAAGCAAAACTAACTTTTATGAATGACAGTGGTAGATAATGTCTTGACTTTTGTCTATTGTGGAAAATATACAAGATTAGCGTTCAGACAGGCAGACTGTGTAGCCAGCTGGGATAAATCAGAACCCTGAAAGACGTAAGAACTGGGGAACTCAGCTTCAGTTATTACTTCTGAGCGGATCAAATACATGTTGAGCTCAAGGATAATCCTCAAAGGAAGTCATGCTATCAGTTTTTTCAACAGATTACAAAACCTGATTTTGAAATTATATCTTTTGTTGAAAGGTAAGGCTTTTCTTAATTTATAACATTATACACTTTGCCATATAAAAAGGAGATTTAAAATTTTTAATTCAAAATACACTCAATTCTAAGTTATTCTTCTGAAATTGATTCGTACAGAAAACAAGCAGAATGCGTTGGATAACAAATCTGTAAGCGTGCTCACGCAGCAGCTAAACGCAAGGAACACAATCTATAGACCTGTGTTGCAAAGTACTTGTGTGCTTAATTGCTATTTTCTTAGGCAATTGTTTTAGGCAATTTTCTTCCCTACTTCTTATAGGTAGATATGGCATTTTGGGGTGATCCCAGTAGATAGTACTCAAAATATGTAGAAAAGCATGGCCAAGAAAGATGAAAAATATTCACAGCACACTGTTTCAAAAACATGGGTCTCAGAGTGACTCACAGGTCTATCAATGAAAAACAAAAGATTATAACCCAGAGCAGAGAAAGTATGAAAGTCTGGGATTTTAATCCTGACTTAAGTGATTCTGGGCCAGTCACTAAACTGTTACTGCTCGTCTCTATAAAAACGGCAACAGTCACCTACCTTTATGTTACAAAGGTGTTTAAAATGTAAAATTGTATTTATAAATTACTTCTAATCACAGGTAAAAAGGAGAACTGTCAAGCAACATGCCATAAAAGATTCGACCTGAAATTTGGAGGTCTTAATAGGCCATGATCACACGACCAATCTCTGCACGAACCACAGAACTTAGTGCAAAGACAATAAAATTATGTCCATAGATTTCTCCCTTAAATCCAACAAACTACGTTAGAAATGTATGTCTCAGAACACTATGGGGACTAGGTAAGAATGCACATGACAATAAAACCTACCCTCATCACTAAACAATTCAGTAGTGCCATTTTGTATTCAACAGACACTGCGTCTTCTATACTACCGTGGGTGCAGCCTATAGGGGAGGGAAGTACCCTCACTATGACAGGAGAACCAGGGCAGCTGCCAGGGATGCTGGGCTGGCTAGAGCATGACTCCTCCCCCATGACCTGCATCTGCCGCTCCCTCCACTGTATCCCTGTTATGGACAAGTGACCTGTCCTCAATCTTACATAGAGTGCTATGTAAGCTCAGCTTAAGTTTCCCTCTCCAATTATTTACACCTACCACAGACAAGGAAATTCTGGAGCTATCGTTGATTTTTACAGGGAACATGCCAGAGCAGCCTGCCATTACATTCTGTGTGAGAAAGAGGGACATCTGCACTTCAGGGAAAGGAGGCTCTGTCCCACTCAGCACCTATTTAAGCACAGAAACTACCCAGGTGCCAGAGTGGGGGTCCTCTAGAACATAACCAGAGCAGTGGCACCCAGAGAGCAGTTTCTGTACATTTCAGAGTGAATGTACTCAATTTGTACCACAAGAGAGCCCTTCTATCAACCAGGCCCCTGAATGACAGGCACGTTTGATAATACCATTTTAGAAAGGGTGGCTTTTCTCCAGCAGCTCTAGGCAGTCACTTATTCCTCATTTTGACAAAGTAGCATCCAACGTCAGGCATGGCTATATACATAACTCTACATGCAGCTGAGCCGTGATGAACAGGCCAAGAAAAAAGGCATGTCAAAAGACATTTTTCCTCCCCAAAGTATGGCCCCAAGAAGCCATTATTATAATAGCGTATGAATTTCTGCTGCAGGTTATTGACCTGTAAACTAACAGTAAAAGTCCCATTTAGTACATAAAGGCTAACACTGCAACATGAAGTATGAAGACACAATCCACTGACTATTTAAGTTTGCTGTACAGCTAAAACACCTTCTTCATTACACCAATTTGCACATATATGTATCTAAATAGAAAATGAATTGTGGAGATGAGGCAAAATACAGTGCAGTTGCTGGCGGGCTCACGAGGCCATCAAGAAGACTAGAAGAAGTTCCCAAGTCCCGCGCTGCTGGTGTTGTCTTCTGAGGCTCCAAACTGAGACCTTGGTGGATTTATCTGATTGGCACTCTGAGTGAATCGAGGCCGGGCTCAAAGGCAAGCCTTGCCTCCTGAAAAAACCATTCCACACACAGGTCTTGACTGAATACCATTTGGGACTTCCTTAAATGATATTAAAGCTCGACACAGAGTATGCAAAAGCAGTTACTAGTTTTTCGAGAAAAGACACACCTGCCAAAAAAGCAACAGCTCTGTAAAGGGAGCTGTAGGTAACTGCTGAGACAGCAATAGCAATGTAACAAATATAGCCTAGGATGGCCCTCTTTTAAAAAAAATTGCTGCCCCAATACTTCACTTTTTTTAAAAAAACAGATTTCCACAACAAGATTTTCTAACAGAAAGAGTCCACTGCTTTGCTCGAAGAGGAAGGACCCAGTCCTGGTGGTGAATGGGCTGGGAATGTCCATCAAGATATGCAAGACTACATAACACACAGTCTAATGTTTGTTTCACAACACCTCGCTGGCTCCTGGTGGGTGAAATGCTGCTCTCTAGCTGCATCCAGGGCTCTTTTCTTGTGGCATTTTAAAAAACGCAGCTGCAGCTGAATCAGCAGCTTTCTCTGCGGCAGAGGTCCTGACCAGCCACTCGGAGTTTGGCGATTTCGGGGCCTGCGACGCCAGTGCAGTTGACTCCATCGCATCCACATGAACTGGTAAGATCGTTACAAGCAGAAAGGAAAAAAAAGTCAAGGAGAGACAAATTAGAATGAGACACTTCAATGTACAATTTCCTTAATCCTTTTACCTTATGCCCTATTAACCCGAGTGCCCACATAAGGCTTTTCTTTTGAAATATTACTCAGCCATAAAAAAATCATGAAATCTTACCATCTGCAACAACATGGATAGACCTAGGGGGTATTGTGCTGAGTGAAGTAAGTCAGACAGAGAAAGACAAATGCCATATGATTTTACTTATATGTGGAATCTAAAGAACAAAACAAACACACACACACAAACAAACAAGAAATAAACATAGATACAGAGAACATTTTGATGGCTACCAGCTTGGGGGGGGGGAGCGGTGAAAAAGGGGAAGGGAAAGGAAGAAATGCAAACTATTAGTTACAAAATATCAGGGGGATGTAAAGTAGAGCATAAGGAATATTGTCAATAATATTGTAATAACTTTGTAGGGTGTCAGATGGGTACTAACTAGATTTATCTGGGTGATCACCTCATTCAGTTATATAAACGTCTAATCACTATGTTGTACATCTGAAACTAATATAACATATTGCATGTCAACTCTAACTGAAAAATAAAACAATTATTTTTAAAAAGGTTAAGTTTTAAGTAGGCTAAGTATTTCTCTACCTGAGAAAATGGGTTTAACTAAACAAATGAATAAATTCAGTAGTACAAATTCATAATGTAGTAACTATAACTTATTAAGTACTTACGTACTAGGCATAGTGCTATGTAAATATTACACTCATAATCTTACTTCCTAATGCAAACTCTTAGAGGTAGGCATTGTCATCTCCATTTTCTGGATCTGAAAACTGAGCCATCGAGGAGCAGTTAAATTCTTCAGGGACACAACAGAGCTTGTTAAGTAACAAGGTTCAAACTCAGATACTGATTGGACTCCAAGCCCTATGTTCCACGGGGTTCTGGTTACAGCCCGTGACTCCAATATGACAGTGTCACCAATTAATAGCAGACAATAAGGAAAATGGTAGAAAATCACACAGTCAGGCCCAGTTTTTCCACAAGGACACTAACCATTCTGGACCCTATCCATTGAATGCCAAAAGAATGCTGAATCATTGTTGACAACCAAACACTGTCCTCACATTTCCAAATGTCGCCTGAGCAGGGTACAAACCACCATCACACTATCTGTTGAGAGCAGATATACACTAACATATAGCAAAATCCAGAAAAGCTTCATTCTTACCCTGTCACTCAATAATTTTACTCTGGAAATGTAACCTAGAACAGTAATTTTCAAACTGTGGGTCACAAAATCAGTTTAGTGGGTCATAACCAGTACTTTTTTTCTTAATGAAAAGGAATAAAAAATATCAGAGTGTACCCAAAGATTTATTTCAGATTTACATGTATACCCACATACATATTCAAACATGAATTTCTTATAGTGAATTATTGTTAAAAAAAAATCTTGAAACCTATTACTCTGGCACATATACAAGAGTTTCTTGAGGACAATGGCTTTCAAATGTTTTGGAAATTCAACCCACAACAGCGAGAAATACATCTGACATCACAACCCAAAAAATCTCTCTCTCTCTCTCTCACACACACACACACACACACACTCATATTTAACTGAAAATAAAGTTCACAAAACTGTATTTACCATTACTATATGGTCATTAACAACAGTGAAAAAGCCCTACCCTAGAAAACTTATTTTTGCTATATATATATTTGTTATTATGCTAAAATATACATTACGTAAAATTTATCATTTTAATAATTTTTAAGTTCAGTAGCCTTAAGTACATTTACACTGTTGCACAACCATCACCACCACCCATCTCCGGAGCTTTTCATCTTCCTACATGAAAACTCCACACCCATAAAACATTGACTTCTCATTCTCCTCCTCTCCCAGCCCCTGGCAGCTACCATTCGACTTTCTGTTTCTATAAATTTGACTATTCCAGGTACCTCACATAGCTGGAATCATACAATGTCTGTCCTTTTGTGTCTGGCTTATTTCACTTAGCATTATGTCTTCATTGATGTTGCAGCATGTATCAGAATTTTATTCTGAATAATGAAGGCATTCAGGCATTCATTCATGTGTGTTTGTGTGTGTGTGTGTGTGTGTGTGTGTGTGTGTGTGTGTGTGTGACATTTTACTTATCCATTCATCCAGCAAGAAACATTTGAGTTGTTTCTATCTTTTGGCAACTGGGAATAATGCTGCTATGAATATGTGTGTACAAATATCTGTTTGAATCTCTGCTTTCAGTTCTTTTGGGTATATACCCAGAAGCAGAATTGCTGGATCATACAATAGTTTTATGTTTAGATTTCTGAGGAACTGCCATACATACTGTTTTTCCAGAGCTGCTGCACTATTTTACATTTCCACCAGCAATGCACAAAGGTTTCAATTTCTCCACATCCTTCCCAACGCTTGTTTCCTGATTTTTGATACAGCCATCCTAAGGAGTGTGAAGCAGCCCAGAAAAAACTTTTGCACATGTTCTCCCACAGAATGATGCAGTCTTTTTCACAATAGCATAAAATGGGATACAATGCAAATGTCCTTCAAGAATGTTTAACTGTATATTCACCATATTCATACAATGGAATACCATATATATGGCAGTAAAAAATGAATGGATTTTGGCAGGATGAAACATAAATGAATCCCAAGAACATAACTGGGTGAAACTTGTAACTTATAAAATATGACATTCCATTTATAAAAGGTTCAAAAACATGCAAAGCAGACCACAGTTAGACAATCTTGTATATGTGCCAATTGCTTAGAGATACATGTCTGTTAAAATTATCTGGAAAAAAAACAAAGAATAAGTGATTTTAAAATGTATCAGGATAATGGATACCTCTGAGGAAAGTTGAAAGAAGATTTTAAAGGTGATGTTCTCTTTCTTAAAGCGGATGGTGGGTACACGGATATTCACTGTATTGTTTTTCTTTACACTTTATATAGCTTCTATAAGTGTTCTTTTATAGCCATTCAATATTTACCAAAAAAGTTTTTTAACTTTAAAAACCATTTAAATTTTAAAAAGGCGTAGTGGGCAGTAAGAATCTGCCCTATGGCTCCCGAGACCTGACCAGCCTAAATCGGAACTACTGAATCCAATCACAGGGAAGAATCATACCGAGGATAATCCCGTTTCAACTGTAGGAGTCTATTCATGTATTCATACAACAAATACCTAGTGAGATCAGTCCATGTGCTGAGTGCTAGTTTAGCTGCAGGAAATATAGCAGTCAGCAAAACAGATAAAAATTCCCGCCCTTGCAAGTGCATCTCTGGCATCACTGGCCTGGTATTTAGAATCTGATGTAGCTACTTGACAGGTTAACTGTTGGGTACCCTTCCGGCTGATGCTCTAAGGTCAGGTATCCTGTCCCACAGAACAAAGTTAGAAAAGGCTTTTGGAATGGCCAAAATAGTCAGGGCTCTGAATTCAACAGCTTGTCATCCCAATTCTCCTTTACCTAAAGCCAAGTGTTTACTTTTTGAAGGAATGGGATCTGTAAGCCAAAGGCTCTGTTCTGCCATTCTGATGAAGAACACCATCTCAAGGAAATGAAGTCTGGTTTTCAATCGAGTTCTTTATGTTTTTCAAATTTAGGGGAAAAAAACCCACTTCTTCTTTTCCAGTTACATTCTTTAAGAGCATGTACAGCAAATTCCTGTCAGCACAAGGTAATGGCTGCTGGGCCTCCCCTGTGCTGGTCAGCCAGGGAAGTGGTTTACGTGGTTACGCAGTCAGATCCACAGGTGGCTCTGTGCACCAGACCCCTGCGCGTTATAAAGCCATAATGGGAAGGGCAGGGGACATAGAAAGAAGAAAATAAAGGTGCTACGCCTTCAGGAAGGATCTACTTAGTGACCCTATGAAAAAGTCCTTTTCCCTGGCTTTTTGTTAATATTAATACAAAAAGACAAGGGAGACATGCTATTCCTTTCTGCTCTTCACCTCTCTAGCCTTATTAATATCTTTAAATTCAGTCAATTTCAACTCAAAACTTTCCATCAGTGGGGGAGGGGAAAAGGGAAAAGATTTGTGGCTGCATGTTTATGAAAGAAGCTGAATTCATCACAGTGACAGGGGAGAGTGTTGGCAGAGATCTGAGCTATTTATTCTTTTAGGAAAATCCTATAAAGAATGACACAAGGAAGCCTCTATCTGCAGTCTTGTTCATCACACTGGTGAGGAATCCGATAACAGATGTATGCGGTAGCGTGATTTAGTACCAGGAGCTGGCCCCTGATGTGGATTAATACAGCGGCAAAGCGGAACGCACCTCTCTTCATCACTCATTTCTATAAAAGAGGTGGAATCCGAGATGGCCCGATGTTAGGCAGAGCAAGCCCATTTGTTCTACTGACTGATGGCGCGGGCTCGGGCTATGTCCTTCACCTCCATGGGGCACTCAGGTTGTGGGTAGAAAAAAAAAGAAAACGTTCAGTGAAGCAAGCTTTAGTCAACAAGTGAGAGGAGGAGTTGAGCTCCGTAGGGGAAATCCTTAATGCTCAAGTCTTGTTTAATGCCTCCCAGTACAGTTTCCAATCTGAATATGGAATCAGGATTTTAAACTCTTCTCAACAGTTCTTCTCCTATAAACAATCAAAAGCTAAAAACAGAAGCTGGATATTAAGGAGGAAAGGAAGAACAAAAAGATAAGAGGGGAAATTGTGTTTTAACGTTTCCAATACCACAGGCTAGATGAAGATCTGGGATTTGATGTGAAGTCATCGTTTGGAACCATTCCTACCATATACAAGACAGAAGACCTGCAGTATTTAAGACATCTCTAGAGTGAGAGGGAAAATGGTCTGACTTGGGCTTTGCAATTTATCGACCATGTGACCTCAGGGAAGTGATTAACCTCTCTAAGCCTCAAATATCTCGCATACTGGGAATAAAAACAGTATCGACCTTATAAAGTTGTTGCAAAGATTAAGTGAAATAATGTATGCAAAGGGCATAGCCATGTAGAAATCACTAAAAAATTTATTATAATCATCAGACCTGTGATTAAGATTGCCCATTATCATGACAATCTCAGTCTGAACCATTATCAAGCACTTGTCCCAAACAGAAGCTTGAAGAGGCGAATTTCAGAGCATGTTGAAACTTACTAAGTGAAGGTAGGGGAAAAAGTTCCCTATTTGTCTACTCTCAACTATCAATTGCTCTGACCTATATATAGTAAATATACAGTATTTTATTATAACATATTTTCTGAAGAAAATAAAAATACGATATACTCAATTTCCACAGCATGAATTCACTATCATCAAAAAAAAAATAATTGTGGGGATCGGTGGATACCAGAGGGGAAGGGGATTGAAGATGGGCGAAAGAGGAGAGGGCAGTCAATTGTATGGTGATAAGACAGCTACTAGACTTTCTGGGGTGATCACTTTGTAGTGTATACAGATGTTGAACTACAATGTTGTACACCTGAAACTTATATAATAAAAAAAAAAGAAAAAAGAAAAAAAAAATAACTGCAGGTATTTCTGATAGTACTACAAACGGATACGGTCTTTTCATCCAGAGCAATATAGTCTAAATTGCATTGAAATAATATAAAGGATTTCCTATGATAACTAATTACACTTAACTATTTTCTTTTTCAAAGAAAAGTATCTGTAAGCATCCAATATTCTTGCTGACATAAATATATAACAATTCCCCTTTGCTTTCATTTAAAGATAACATATATACAGTAAAGCACATAAGTCATAAATGTATATATAGTTCAGTGAATTTTTACGTATGTATATGCTCATGTAGTCCCCACCTAACTCATGATATAGGACATTTCCAGCATCCCAGAGGCCTTCTTCATGTTGTCTCATGGTCACTACCTCCCTACCAAACAAAGATAATCACAATTTTGGTTTCTACGAATTCGTTTTACACAGGAAACTAGACGTTTTAACTTGAAAATTTGTTTTTAATTAAAAATTTCATGACCGGTAAAATATTAGCACTCCACTATACATAAAACAGTGAGAATGTATTGTACCATATGCTAAATAAGAAAGTAAATATTAATAAGCGCATGTGGCTTCTTGGCTACTGACTAGATACTGCCACCCTAATGGGCTTTTCCTTAACAGAGACCTAATATCTTATCTGTGCTAGAACAAAAGCACAGGTGACTGAAGATTGTTGATAGTGAAACGCAGGGATTCAAATTCAAGAAAGCTGTTTGACACAGTGAAAAAATATAGACTTCAGGGTCAGAGAGAACTAGGTTTGAATTCTTAAAATATGCATGACCTTGAGCAAATTATTTCTTACATTTTCAATTTTCCCATGTAAAATGGAAATACAATTACCTACCTTACAAAGGTTACATGAAAAGTATATAAAACATACAATTTAGTGCCTGACACACATTAGGGGCTCAATAAATGATAACTACATTTAGTTACCTGCATTTGGGCTAGAAAGAGATGCTGTGGCCACAGGTTTCCGTTTCCTCTTGATGTCACGTGAACACGGGGGTCCCAAGTGTATGTTTGCCTGTCTGCAGATGTGAGGAAAGAAAATACTGCTTTAACTTTGTAATTCTTATTGTTTAAGACATAATGTTCAGCCTGGATGAAATCCTTGGCCCATTATAGATATATGCTAACAAAGTGGGCACCATACTTTGCCATCAAGTGTCAGTACAAGACTATTCAAAATTAATCATAACTCACTCTTCACTCACAGTATATACCCATTCTGAACTTTTTACCTGTTTTCAGAATAGCAGACATTCAAGATTAATTTCTGTAAATATGTTTCATTATTTGCTGATTTGTGTACAATTATTTCTCATAAAAACTACAACTGCAATTGTTCTAAACTCACTAATGAATACCTACTCCCAAGGGGTAATATATTGAAAAGTTTAATGCTGCATGAACAGAGATATTTGCATATAACTTTAATAGAAAGTTTAACCCTTCTATCACTATACATACATCTGGATTTTTAGTGGTGTCTGTGCCACAAGTTAAGTTTGGTTTCTGGGATTTTTAAAAATATATATTATGCGCTAATAACATGTCCCCTCATCTGAATGTTTAGCTAATTTTAAAAACAAAACAGTGGGGGCTTTAAAGCTAGAAAAGCAAAAGATTCTCTGGAAGACAATGGGCTTAACACTGAAATAGCCGCTATTTCAGTTTCCCAGTTTCTCCTTCCTCTCCAACTAGACAGATCTCACCCCTGATTAAGGACCAAGCTGATTCTCACCTTTACACAAAGCTTTCCTTTTACACTCAAGGCCTTATCTACCATGAATCATTATTTAACTGCTGTACATGTATCTTTTTCCCTAATGAGGCTTAGTTTCCTTGAGAATAGGGACCATGTTTATATTTCTGTCATAATTTTCCCATGATCTGCCAACCTCAGCAGAAGGTACATAGCTAATCCCTATTAAACATTTGTTGACTGGAACTGTTATGAATAAAAGTTCTAAAAACCAAATAGCCAATTACACACTTACAATGATAAAAAAATGGTAAATTTTATGTTGTGTATATTTTATCACAATTTCTAAAAAACAGCTAGAGTATATAACATGTAAAAAGGAATCTAGTAAAATTATACCAGATGAACTTCTAATTGGTACTCCTGGCTGGGGATCAGTTCTCATGGCTCAGTAGTCTTAAAACTGGAACCTCGGCGACCTCAGTCAAATCTAAGGGAACCTAGTTAGCAAGGCAACAAGACAACTGTTGAATGGACAATTTTTCCTACTCAGAGGGCCCCAATCTTAAGAAGTTTTTTAGAATGCCAAGAACACTAAAATAGGCAGAGATTTACAATATAAAGCCTGTGGTTTGGAAAAGTCCATCCAAATCAACTTTTATTGATCACGCTCTTCTGTATGGAAAAAAGAGTTAACTTTAAATTAAGTATCTCATTAATAATTAATTCCAAAACCCCAACGTGAAATGTAAATATGAATGTGTAAAGTAGGGAAAACAATTCATTTTTCATGCCTTACCTAAGTCCCGGGAGTAAGCCCAAATTAGCATGCTGATGTAATAATAAGAAAGATAGATGACAGAATGTCAAAAGTAGACAGGTCTTTAGTCTAAATGCAGAGGTGGTAATTCCCTTTGAAGCCAGACATAGGCAAAGAAAGTGACACTACAAAATTTTGTTTCTCCTCCAAACAGAGAAATGTACCGGATACAGTTTCCATTTTTTCACAAACAAGGTGCTGGAGGTACGTTCAGACCCAAACTCCAACTGTCCAAGCACTTGGCTCTAATTCAACCCAGCTTCTCCTGAGGTGCAGGAGAAAGCGAAGCCAGTGAAAGAGCAACACTTTATATCCGTGCTCTTTCTTCTTTACCTCAAGCTCATTACAAGACTCTCCAAACTTTTTAGTTTAAACGTTAACACCATTTCCTCAAACTAAACTAGGTTATTAGACATCAGGACGGCGGTCACCCTTGAGCTGCGGGGTGTGGAGGAAGAGGAGCAGCAACTAGGAGCTTCTGGGGTTCTTCCTGGTAATGCTCGTTTTTGGATCTGGATGCTGGTTACTTGCATGGGACCTCATGAAAATTCATCAAGTATGTATTTCTTTGTAAACTTCTCTGTATGTATATTCTCCTTCGATTAATTAAAAACACTGCTACTTCAACATCAACGTTTACAAAATGATGAGCTTTACGAAACAGATGTAAAGTGAAAAGCATAGAAAAGTACTCAAAAGGGCTTTAAGATATTCCCAGAATATTAACGTGGGCTGACCTAACCAAATACTGCCTTTTATTTACACGCCATCCAACAGTTTCACAGCTTTGCATGTTTAACATATATTAGTTCAATGGTTAAGGGCGCGTATTATCAGTCCTCTATGGACCAAGTCGTATCTTAGCTCACATTTTCAAGGAATGACAATTTTGGAGTAAAAAGATGAAACCATTTACGCACCAAAACGTTCAAAGTTTTGACCATTTTAAATAAAACGCAGTGGTTTTTTAATGCTTATTTATTTCAGTAAAATGAAAAGAAGTACTACTCCACACATAGGTATTAGACTGCACCACATTCTGCAACGTCCTGTGGGGACACCTGTGGACTCAAGGGCCCAGGTGGTCCCTAGGATGCCCTGCCCCTCTGGGCCATGGTTACTGGATCCCCATTCTCCCCTGCTCAGTGATCTGAAGGGCTTTAGGGTTGACTGTCCCTACATTAAATGACCCCAACTGCTAAGCCTCCAGCCTGTTGTTCTTTCGGCAGTAAATGTTCTACTTCTACCACCCCATTCCCACTCCTAATGGTTACCCTGAACATCCTAAATCCTTCAAATTTTGCAAATTCCTCTGAGTGTAACAGGAAAGAGCTGAAGGCTTACCAGGGAAACCAAGTAACGAAACTTATTAAGTCAGTAACTTTATTTTGTTGTAAAAGTAAGTATTTTGGTGTGGACTGTTTCCTTTCTACTCAGCAGTTTTGTTGCTTCTTGCATTGTTCACTGAGTTTTTACTGAATACTGGGGTATGGAAACAAAACAGTTTCTTCCCTAATGGACCTTGTGGCCTAGCCCTATTTCCCGCTGCACAGTTGTCTAGTTACAGAATCTGAATCACAGGAACAGTGAGGCAGAGATAAAGAGAGGTCACGTTCATTCCTGAAACTCAGGTTAATGCTCCTTCCTTCTTGAACCTTTTCTCTTAAGACCGTTTCCAAGTCAGAGAGCTATTTCATAAGAGGTAGAATAACATCACACCTTAGGTCTGAGTACAGAAGGGATATCTATCTCTCCCTATGTCCCTGCCTAGTAAAGTTGTGGGGAGGAAGGAAGAGAAATGGTCCAATTGTTACAGGAGGACCGTAAGACATTTCCCTTCTTTCTGGTTTTAAGTGAACACTAGTAATGGTCGAGTTACAGCTTGGGAAAATATATTTTCCCCTGTGAGGGCTCTGTCTCCTTGGGAAGAACCTTAGAGGACACAGGAGGATGAGAACCCAGAACAGGGCTAGGGAGAGCAAAGAGGATGGTGGGTGCTTGGAGCAAGAGGGTTTAAATAGGACAGGAAATGGAACCTGCCACGCGGTACAGCACATTCAGAACTTGTGGACAGCCCTGTTCAAGAATAAAGAACAACCTGTATGGGGTTGAAAGGGCCCCTTGTTATTCCGGGAACCTGAGTATGCGGGCAGGCGACTGCTGCAAGCCTCAGCTTCCTATTCAAGAGGTAGTTCCAATTTTGGTGAAATCCCAAATAATCCCCTATCAGTCAACTGTAGACATCAAGAACTAATGAAGGGGCCAGCCAAGTGTCTCAGTTGGTTAAGGGCGCCAGCTCTGAGCAACAGGGTCACCGGTTCGATTCCCACATGGGCCAGTGAGCTGCACCCGAGCTGAGCTGCCACAGAGCTGCCAACAGGTGGCAGGATGGCTCAGCTGGTGAGAGCACATGCTCCTCACAACAGTTGCCGGTCTGACTCCTGCATGGGATGGTGGGCTACGCCTACCCACAACTAAGATTGAACACAGCAACCTGAGCTGAGCGGCCACAAGCTGCCAACGGGAGGCCAGATGCCAACTGGACTTGGAGCTGAGCTTGCTGCGCCCTCCACAGCTAACATTGAAGGACAACAACTTGGCTGTTCCCCTTCCCCAATTCCCCAATAAAATCTTTAAAAAAAAAAAGAATGAAGGGAAGGAAAAATAAAGAGACTGACCTCCTTCCACCCCCATTTTCATTTAGGAGTATTTAACCACCTCAGGTCCTTTTTTTTTTCATGTGTTGTTTTTTAATTTGTGTTATTTTATTCAGACAGTATCACTGTCTACTCACAAGATAGAAACTGAAAAGGGACAATGCACAGGTGAGATATCACAAAGGACAGGGAAAAAGAGCCTGAGCTTCCCTTTCTCACCAACACACAGAGCCCCCTCCCTGTAGGCAGAAATGGTAGAAGATTTAACTCGATTTTTAAAAACTTTTTCAAGAGCAGCATACAGCTGGTTTTGTGTTGCAAACTATGTACTATATTTGGAGGAGAGGACCTTTCAGTTAGCTTAAGCATAACGTACACTACAAATCTCTACCAAGTTATTAAAACTTCCTCCTCTAGTGGAGTGACAAATGATTATCAGAAGGACGTATGGAGTTTCTACAAAATACACATCTCCCACCATGCTGGGGTGGGAGAAGAATCAGGAATATGTTTACAGTAATACCTTGGTTTGTGAGCATAATTAGTTTGGAAACAAATTATTCATATTGCAAGACATTGCTCATTTACCATGTTAAAATGTATTAGAAATGTTTGTTTGTCTTGCAGAACACTCGCAAACCATGTTACTCACAATCCAAGGTTTTACTGTATTTTGAAATGCCTCCTTAAAAAATATGCCAAATTCCCCAAACTAAGCTAGCCAATAAAAGAGATCTAAATGTTTAACTTAAAGAATGATTAAAATGACTATAAATTGAAATTAAAATACTGTCCCCTAGTATATAAGTAATTAACCTAGAGAGAAAAACAGGCTAGCTTGTTCTG